TGGTAGGTTTTGTTGGTTGGTTGGTTCACTGGCAGGCTGGTTTGGTCAGTTGGTGAGTAGGCTGGTTTGGTTGTATCATTGGTTAGTTGGCTGGTTGGTTGGCTGGTTGGTTGGTTGGCTGGTTTGGTCGGTTGGTGAGAAGGCTGGTTTGGTTGCATTGTTGGTTATTTGGCTGGTTGGTTGGCTGGTTTGGTTGTTTAGTTGGCTGGTTTGGTTGGTTGGTTGATTGGTTGGCTGGTTTGGCCAGTTGGTGAGTTGGCTGGTTTGACTGCATGGTTGGTTGGCTGTTTGGTTGGTTAGTTGATAGGTTTTGTTGGTTAGTTGGTTCACTGGCAGGCTGGTTTGATGAGTAGGCTGGTTTGGTTGTATCGTTGGTTAGTTGGCTGGTTGGTTGGCCGGTTTGGTTGCTTAGTTGGCTGGTTTGGTTGGTTGGTTGATTGATTGGCTGGTTTGGTCGGTTGATGAGTAGGCTGTTTTAGTTGTATTGTTGGTTAGTTGGCTGGTTGGTTGGCTGGTTGGTTGGTTAGTTGGCTGGTTTTGTTGGTTGGTTGATTGGTCGGCTGGTTTGGTCGGTTGGTGAGTAGGCTGGTTTGGTTGTGCCATTGGTTAGTTGGCATTTGGTTTGCTTCAGTGGAGTTGGTGGCCTTTGAGCTTTTGTGGGACATGTTCAACTAGAGTGGGACAAAATCCTGATTAAGAAAATAGCTGTGAAGCTCCTTGACTGGGGAAGGGTTTTTTTTTTTTTAAGTATTCTTTGCATATTTATTTGACAGTCACAGGCAACAGATGATGATGAATTTTTTTTCTGTATACTTCATGTGGTCAAAGAAGGATTTGGCATCTCTGGATGCCTGAATTGTTTGTATTATTGTTTTTTAGGGTTATAGATTACTATATGATTCTTTGTGCTCTTGGCACTAAAATGAAAAAAAAAAAAAAAAAAAATCAGAGCACCCTTACTGTATTTATAACTGATTTTTTTGTTTTGTATTATTTTGTTTTCCTAAAATAGTTGAAATAGTTCAGCCTGATTGACCAGACCAAGCCATGGTGGTGATAATACAACTTCACATGATTTATTCTAAGCAGCTTCACTTGCAGTTTTCCTGGTGGATGGCTTTCTTCCTGAAGTGGTGCTAAACCCCATGAAATACAGCAGATCTCTATGCAGAATCGAGGAATGCTGATGTTTGCTAAGTCAACCTGCAGCAATTCCAGGCAGGTTCCTCTGAGTTCTCCGACTTGCACATCTCATCTGGAATGTTTTTTTATCAGCAGCACAGAGAGGGTTTCTAGCAGTTAAATCCCCAGCGTGTACGTGGAATTAAGGGCCATTGCATACATCCTGGTTACCTCTCACTGTTCAAACCTTATTTGTGCAAAACAATAAAACATGTTAAACATTAAAATGGAGAAGTGATAACTCACGTTGTAGATCATTTCTTTTGCTATTAAAATATTTAAAATTAATTTATTATCAGACCCACATTCAAGTGTGTACCTGTGTTGCCCAGTGGGAACTGCATGATGATTCTCTCACACTCTCATTTTGATCCATGGGGAAGGGTTTTAGATTTCATGCCTGGTGACAACTGGTCCCAGCTAGGGGAGGTGGAGGGGAACGTGGGCTTGGATGGCAGGGATGTGCCAGGATGTGGGAGCTGGGGTTTCCCTGGTGGGAGACAGGTGAGGTCTGGACAGCAGGTGCTGCCATGTCACCCAGGTGGGTGGCAACTGCTGTGCCAGCTGCAAAGCCTCAGCACGAGCTGCGCAAGGTGGGAGCATTGTATGTGACCATCCAATTTTGGGGGCAGAGGATGCTGAATCCAAATGCTTCGTTCTACACTGGGTTCTACACAGCAGTGAATCTGCTGAATGAAAGCCTCATATAGCAAAGGAAATGCAAAACGTAGCTATGCAGCACCTGGAGGGAAATAAGCACAGGGTGGTCTGTCCTGGAGCATTTCCTGCTGGAGCTGCAGGAGATGTGCACTCAGCTCTGCTCTCTGCACTGAGAGCTGGCATTTGCTCAGAATTTCATTTTTACTTCCAGAGTTGGTTACAGAGCTGTCCCAGCTGCTCTGATGCTTCCAAATGACAGAGGCTGAAACAAAAACATAGATTGGCCTCTTGTTTGGGATAAAAACGTGAGCACTGACTTGCCCTTAGATGGTGTTTTAGCCAGAGCAACAAAACAAATGGGACAGAGGAGGCACGGCTGAGCATCATAAGCTCAGCAGTGGTTCTGGCACTGCAAGGGACACTGCCTGTTGCTGGTGGGAGGCGTGCTGGAGGCACAGAGTGGCGATCCAGCAGCTTTTGTTTGTTTGGCTTTTCCTGAAGCAGCTCTGAGTTGGACCATTCAAAACAAAACAACAAGAAAAAAAAAAAAAAAAACACTACCGTCAACAGCAAACAAAATAACAACCGGAGTCTTTGAGCACCTACCTGCTAGGCTGAGCTGCCGGAACACCTTGTTATGTGCGAGCTGTAGCCACCTGCATCTCCAGCCCCGTTCTGACCTGATAAGAGGCGGAGGGTTGGGAGGAAAACACGCCCGCTTCGGGATGTTGGCACTGCACGCTGCTCCTCACCGCCGCCGGTTCCTTCGTTCTTCTGGCTCGATTGATGCTCGTAATTACACTAAACCAGAGATGAATGCCGCGCACCCAACCCCACTTAGGACTTGGAAAACGCGGTGTTTATCCTTAAGGGTGGCGAGGCCCCGGCACTGCTCCAGCACTACAGGTTGCTTGGGGCCCTGGGTGCGCTGATGGCAGCCCGGCCCCCCCCCACACACACCCCGACCGTCCCTTGTCCCCCAGCGCCGCCGTGCGGCCGCCCCGTCGGGGCTCGGGGTCGTCGCCCACCTCCCCGGCTCTCCGCGGGGCTCCGGGCCGCATCCCCGGGCGGCTCTGCGGGGCTGCGCAGCGCCCTGCGCGGGGTTCTGCTGCCTCCCAGCGGTCCCGCAGAGTCATCGAGCAAAAGAATAAACCGTCAGAATTCTCAATCCCTCGCAGAAAGCAATAAACCCCGAAATCGTTTCGTTCTCGGAAAAGACAGCCGGGATTCGGGGGAGCGGGTTCGGAGAGTGGATGCGATGCGGGGATAAAGGGCCGTGAGGCACTGACGCTGTCGGAGTGCCGCTCTCCCGAAGCCACAAGTGCCCGTTTCCTGGCATTCCGCGGCCGCCGTCACCGCAGAGCACCGGGAGCGGAGGGGGGAGCGGCCCCGCGCGTCCTCCGCAGCCCTTCCCTACCGGCCCCTTAATAAACACCGCCGAGAATTGCTCTTATACTTGGTAAATATTGGCTTAGCTTTTCATTGACCGGCTCTCTTGAAAAAAGACCCGAAAAATCCACACCGGTTCCAAACTAAGCCAAACAGTCAATAGGTGACGAAAGTAAGTTATTTCCAGGGCTTAGCGGGGCTTCCAGCTCATTATCGGGTTATCTGATTCGCCTAAACAGTTCCTGCCCCGAGAGGGGCTGGGGAAGGCCGGCCGGAGCTGAGGAAGGGCACAGGTGAGGGCTTTCTCCCTGCTCCCACACCGCCTCAGCCCCACAGCCTGCCCCCTCCTCTGTGGGATGGGAGAAATGGCAAGGATGAGTGCTATTATTATTATTTTTTTAATAGTTTTTCACTATCTTTCTTTCTTTCCATCCTTCTTTATTTCTTTTCTTTTCTTTTCTTTTCTTTTCTTTTCTTTTCTTTTCTTTTCTTTTCTTTTCTTTTCTTTTCGTCTTTCTTTTCTTCCTTCCTTCCTTCCTTCTTTTCTTCTTCCTTCCTTCCTTCCTTCCTTCCTTCCTTCCTTCCTTCCTTCCTTCCTTCCTTCCTTCCTTCCTTTCTTTCTTTCTTTCTTTCTTTCTTTCTTTCTTTCTTTCTTTCTCCCTCTCTCTCTCCCTCCCTCCCTCCTTCCTTCCTTCTTTCCTTCCTTCCTTCCTCTCTCCCTCCATCCCTCCCTTCTTTCCTCCCTTCCTCCCTTCCTCCTTTCCCTCCTTCCCTTCCTTTCCTTCTTTCTTTCCCTCTCTTTTCCTCTCTCTCCCTCTCTCTCTCCCTTTCTTTCTTTTCCTCCTCTCTCTTTTTATTTCATTATTCTTTTTCTTTCTCTCTTTTCTCTCCCTAATCGCCCGCCTCGCACAACGAGGAGCCACAACAAGAGACAGTTCTCTGGAAAAAGAACAGAAATTGGTCAGTGCGGCGCTGCATAACATTACAGGGGGTGAATGCTCCCTTGTTCTCGGCCGGGCCGCCGGGAGGTGCGGGCCGGGAGATGCGCTGGGGGGGCGATTTCCTGCGCCATGAGCCCAACTTGTCAGCGGGTCGGGGAGAAAAGGAGGGCTCTGTTGTTCTTCAAAGAGAGAAGGAGAGAGGGAGAGAAGGAGAGAGGGTTTCTTATTCTCTTTTTTTTTCTCTCCCTCTCTCTCTTTTTTTTTTTTTCTTTTTTTTTTTTTTTTCCCCCTTTTTCTTTCCAGAATAGATATAGCACGAATTTTTAATTCGTCTTCCTTTCACAGACAACAATGCTGGTTTTGAAAGCTGGGCACAATTTGGGTTTTGTGAGGGGTCCCCCGGCCCAGCTGGCCATATGGGATACAACATGTAGAACATGCCTAACAATGAGCGCGAGTGACAGCCGTAACAAAACGCAAAGGACACTGCTCCCTGACTCCGAGATGTGCTGCCTCCCAGAAACCAATTGAATGGCCCTAAAAAAAGAGGAAAGGGGGCTGAGGAGGGAAAGGACAGCCCCCCCCCCCCCCCCCCCCCCCCCCCCCCCCCCCCCCCCCCCCCCCCCCCAAACTGTCTCTCCCTTTTTTTCTGTCCCCCCCCCAAACCCCCCGGCTGCCTCTGCCTCGGTCTCTTTAATATGCACGCCTCTAACATGCTCACCTCCCTGCCTCCCCCATTGTGCTGTTTTGTGAAGTCTACTGTATATTGTGCAAAGATAGACTGCCCGGAGCTGGCCCGGCAGCATGGGAGATATAAGGCCACGGAGGTTAGGGCCACACAACTGGTTTTATAGACTTAGCAGAGCCTGGGGGGAAAAAGGA